CTGATCTCGCCTTAGCGACGCTTACATTCGTCTTATAAGCTTGCGACAAGTTCAGGGATGGCGGGCGGGTCGTTTTCAAATGTGGCTCCCGCCTCAGAGCCGCGCACGTTCATCTTAAAGCTTGCAACAGTCACAGGTATGGATGGCGGCTCCTTTTTCAAAATCTGGCTCTCGCCTTGGCGCCACGCACATTCGTCTTATTACAGCTCGCTACTGCTTCAAGGATGAAGAGTGCTTCCTTTTACAAGGTGCCTCTCATGTTCAGCGCCGCGCTCATTCGCCTTGAAATGTTGCAGCAGCTACAAGGATTCGCACGTATGGCTGAGGTCCCAGGAATGGCGTTCTGGCACGGTTGACTCCCAGTAAGCAGTGTCGAAGCAGTGTCGAACGAGTATCGCCTCCCAAAGCCCGACACGTGAAGACCCTCCAGTCTCGGCATTTGTTCAAGATCCTTTCTGGCGACCAAGGCTAAAGTAAGTTGGAACATCATAAGACAGACCGGATCCCTGGACGGGTCCGGGGGGGCGATTCGGACCCAGGGCCTCGAGGCTCGTCGAGGCGCAAGGTTTCTGGGCGCTCTTGCGTGTGCGGGCCCTCTGGTCGCGCCCTCGTGTGAAGTCGGGCGTGTCCCCCTACAGGGGGATTTTCGACGAAAAATTAAAAAAATACCCCAACAAATACTCCAAAATGATTTAAAAAATACTAAAAAATTGTCCCCTGACTATTTTTTGACTAGTTTTGAATATTTCTCCTGTAGAGGGACAGGCCCGACTTAACCCTCGTGGCCATGGCCAGGAGAGCCCAGAATCGAATCGATAAGTCGGGTCGGCGATCGAAATGGATCGGATCGGCGGAAATCGGCAGCCGAATCGGGAAAAGTCGAATCGGCGGAGATCGGCAGACCAACAAGGCCTCCACCGAAAGAGAGATCGGAATCCAAACCGGAATCCCGAAGTCGAATCGAATCGAAATCGGCAATCGAAATCGAATCAGGAATCCGTTTCGAGCGCCTTTGGGTCTGCGGGGCAGAGGGCATCCCCTTCGCACAGGGCCCGCTCGGCGCGCCGCCGGGCCTTGATGTTGTTCGGGATCCACTCCACGAAGTAGGAGGAGTTCTTGTTCTGCACGTTGAGCATCTGCTCGTCGACCTCCTTGGTGGACATGCGGCCGCGGAAGAGGGCCGCCGCGGTCAGGTAGCGGCCGTGGCGAGGGTCGGCCGCGCACATCATGTCCGCCGCCGCCGCTTGCGGCGGCTTGCGTGTGCGTGTGCGTGTGAGACCCTCGCCTCCTGCGTCGGTCTCGCTTTCCGCGAACGGAGCGCTGAGCTGGGGCCCCCCGGCGCACGACATGCGGCCACTCTGCAGGCCGAGCCCCTCCTGCCTCCTGCCCTCCACGCCAGGAGCGCGCCGGCCTCGAGCTTGCAGGCAGCCCGCCCAAACCCCCGTCCCACCCGGGCCCACCACTCACAGAGGCGGCCCGCTCTGCCCGGCGGCGAGCCCGGGGGTGGAAGCGAGGAGGGGCGGGCCCTCTCAGAAAACTCGGAGGTCCCCCGAAGCCTTCTGGGAAGCCTTCCGAGCCCTTCCCCGAAGACGACCAGCAAGAACTTCTCAGAAGGCGCGAGGGCTTCTGAGAAGTCCCGCCGCCTTCTGAGAAGGCCTTCTCCTTCTCGCTCCCCACCCCCTCGCTCGCCGCCGCCGATCTGCGCGATGGCGGCTTCGCGCGGCGGCGCACCTGGATTCTTTGCGTCGAACATCTGCTGCGTGAGCTCCGGCACGGTCAGCGCCCGGTACTGCTGGCTGCCGCGGGACGTGAGCGGCGCGAAGCCAGTCATGAAGAAGTGCAGGCGCGGGAAGGGGATCAGGTTCACGGCGATCCGCGGACCCCTCAGGGATACTCGGCGTGTGACATCCTTGAGACGAAGAAAAAACGGCACAAACCTAAACGTTTGGCGCTCCGCGCGGATTTCTTGGTTTTGCGCTGGAACCCCCTCCCTGGCGCGCGGAGCGCGGGGCGGCGCCGGAGGCGCCGCCAGGGGCCCAGGCGCGGATCCAAGAAATTCGCGCGGAACGCTACAAGTGTATGTTTATGCCGTTCTTTCTCCTTCGATCATTGCCCCTGCCAAAACCCCTCCCAGGAAGCTGTTCTGACCCGCTTGGAGAGGGGTGGCCAGCGAGCGGAAGACGACAGACCATGGTGCTGGAACGGTCTGGCTGTCCGAGAAAACCGTCAGGTGGCTCCAGGGGCGCCGAATGGCCCCAGGTGGCCTCCAAGATCGCGCAAAAATCGTGCACGAAGTGGTTCCAGCACGGCTAGAGGTGACCAAGCCGCTCTCCAAGAATGCCCCCAGGAAGCAGAAATCATCAAGAAACCTGAAGGTGCCGAAGATGGTTTGCTTCTCAGGCTCTCCTGGGAGCGTACAGAGCGCCGTGAGACGGCCCAAGAACGGCCCAAGAGAGCAGCCAAAAGACCCCAAGAAGAGCCACAATGGTCCAACAGGGCCGAAGCAACCCCCAAGAGGGCACCCAAAAGCTCCCACGTAGCACCGAGAGGCTTCCACGAAAACGCAGCCCGGAACAGAGGCATCCAGGGCCCCAAGGGGTCGGCGGTGTGGCGGAAGCCAATGCATCTTCCGCAGATCGCAATTCAGCTGCCCGGGGAAACGGAGGCAAGTGGTGACTCCGCTGATCGCAGCGCTCACCAGGTGGTTCAGGTCCCCGTACGTGGGCGTGGTCAGCTTCAGCGTGCGGAAGCAGATGTCGTCCGCAGCCGTGCCCTGAGCACGCTGGGGCGCGTGAGGATTCTTGTCAGCTGTCTGTCAGGGTTCCTACAATTTTCCATGGGAAATGTCCTCCCACCAGTGAGGGGGGGTCAAACTCCACCGCCCCTAGGTTAGCTATTCAGCGCTCTGCTTGGCCTCAAGACGAGCACCAAGACTGCCCAAGACCGCCTCAAGACAGCTATAACACTGCAGGATACCCCAAAGCCAGCCTCAGACAGCTCAACAGTCCCCCAGAGACCCTAAAATGCTGCCAAGACGCTCCAAGAGGCATGCGCACAAAAACCTCCAGGAATGCCCTGAGATGTAAAAGCCTCTGAAAAGCAAGAAGCCGCCATGACGGCCCAATACGGCGACTAGACGGCCCAAGATCGCCCACAGAGAGCTTCAAGACCCGACCGGATGGCCCTAAGATGATGTCACCAAGCCTTTGGGAGATCTCTGTATTAACGTTTTGCCGAAAACGGCAGTATGACCTCGACCAATCCCGAAGAGGCTTTCCGGGAGCCCCCAAGAAGTGCCCGAGAAGCCCCGAAGAGGCATCCACAAAGCCCCCATGAAGCAACGCAACAACTATGCAACGATACAGCCGCGCAACGCTACCACATTGCCCCGATTCTTGCCAAACGACTCCGAAATGAGTGCACCGAGCCTGTTCGCAAGGGACTTGTTGAATCGCCGTGCACACCTGTCCACTCTGTGCTGTCACGGTGGCGGGGTTTGCCGCAGGCAGCTGGATAGAGGGCCTCGTTGTCAAGCAGGAAGCACTCATCGGCGTTCTCCACCAGCTGATGGAAAGACAGTACCGCGTTATACGGCTCCACGACTGTGTCGCTCACTTTCGGAGACGGGATGATGCTGAAAGTCTCCATGATCCTGAAGACATAGCGAACTGCCTGCTCCCTTTTCTCCTCCTCCTCCTCCTCCTCCTCCTCCTCCTCCTCCTCCTCCTCCTCCTCCTCCTCCTCCTCCTCCTCCTCCTCCTCCTCCTCCTCCTCCTCCTCCTCCTCCTCCTCCTCCCTCTCCTCCTTCTCCTCCTCCCTCCTCCCTCCCTCCTCCTTCCTCCTCCTCCTCCTCCTCCTCCCTCCCCCTCCTCCTCCTCCCCCCTCCTCCTCCCTCCTCCTCCTCCTCATCCCCTCCTCCTCCTCCTCCATCCTCATCCTCCTCCTCCCCTCCTTCCTCCCCTCCTCATCCCTGTTCTTCCTCCTCCCTCTCGCCTACCTCCTCCCTCCTCCTCCTCCTCCTCCTCCTCCTCCTCCTCCTCCTCCTCCTCCTCCTCGACCTCCTCGCGATCCTTGTCCCCATCCTCCTGACAGTACCACTGCTCGTGCTCCTCTCTTTCCTCCCTCACAATCCTGTCTGGGTACTCCTCCCTCACCTTGGAGATGAGCAATGTCCCCATGCCCGCTCCGGTGCCACCGCCAAGTGAGTGGCACATCTGAAATCCGCCGAACCCTTAGGGTTCATCGGCGTGTGAGATGCTTCCCCCTCCCCAAACCCTCCCCAGGGAGCCTGGTCCGGTCGATTCAGGGGGGGGGTCTATCTGGGGGGGTACCTCTGCTGGGGGGCATCGAGGGCCTCAAAACGGGCCACGAGGACCCCAAGAGACCTCCAAGACGGTCCAAGAGGGCCCCGAGTCGCCAAAACATTGTCCCAAGACGCCCAAGATGGCCTCCAGACAGCCCAAGATGCCTCCAAGACGCCCCAGGAGGCATCGAAGAGGCCTCCCAAGAGGTTAAAATCGATAATTGTCATTGTTTTGCTCGTTTCTCCAAGTTTTTGTTTTTCTCATGTTTTCGGGCTTCCGACGCTCGAAGACGGCCCAAGAGGCCCCCAAGACCGCCCCAAGACGGCCCAAGAGGCCCAAGAGAAGGCCCCAAGACGGCCCAAGAGGGCCCCAAGACGGCCCAAGAGGGCCCCAAGACGGCCCAAGAGGGCTTCAAGAGGGCCCCAAGAGGGGCCCAAGAAAGAGACCACGAACCACAAATTCTAGCTTTCCGCCCGAAGAGGCCCCCAGGAGGCCCCCCCACGGGGCCCCAAGAGGCCCCGAAGATACCCGCAAGAGGCCCAAACGATGCCTCTAGAGGCCCGAAAACAGCCCCCCAGAGGCATCCAAACTGCTCGGCCCCTTGGGGTTCATCGGCGTGTGAGATGATTCCCCGTTCCCGAACCCCTCCCCCGAGAGCCCGGTCCGGTCGATTTCGAGGGAGTCTATCCGGGCCAGCCGGGGGGAGTATTTTGCTCCAGAAATTATGCCGGGGGGGGCATCGAGGGCTTCAAAAGGGGCCACGAGGGCCCCGAGAGACCTCCAAGACGGTCCAAGAGGGCCCCGAGTCGCCGAAAAATCGTCCCAAGACGCCCAAGATGGCCTCCAGACGGCCCAAGATGCCTCCAAGACGCCCCAAGAGGCTTCGAAGAGGCCTCCCAAAAGGGCTCCAAGAGGCTAAAATCGTTGATTGACATTGCTTTGCTAGTTTTTCCAAGTTTTTGGTTTTCTCGCCTTTTCGAGCTTCCGACGCTCAAAGACGACCCAAGAGGCCCCCAAGACCGCCCCAAGACGGCCCAAGAGGCCCAAGAGAAGGCCCCAAGACGGCCCAAGAGGGCCCCATGACGGCCCAAGAGGGCCCCAAGACGGCCCAAGAGGGCCTCAAGACAGCCCAAGAGGGCCCCAAGAGGGGCCCAAGAAAGGGACCACGAACCACAAATTCTAGCTTTCCGCCCGAAGAGGCCCCCAGGAGGCCCCAGGAGGCCCCAAGAGGCCCCCACGGGGCCCCAAGAGGCCCCGAAGATACCCCCTAAGAGGCCCAAAAGATGCCCCAACACCCAAAACACCCCCAGGGGCCTCCAAACTGCCTCAGGCAGGCCCCCGAGAGACTTCTCACGAGATCCCAACGAGCATCTAAGAGGCCTCTGAACCACAACCCAAGCACGGTGGCGGGACGGGCCGAAGGCCACTAGACACAAATACAAGCATAAGTCACGCAGCACCCGGAAACCGCAACAGCGACCCTCCCCCAAGAGGACGGCGGTGCGGCGTAAGCCAAATAATCCCTGCAAGCAGTCGCATCCCTCCGCTTCCTTGCGGACCACGTCAAGCACGCTGTCAATCAACTCTGCGCCCTCCGTGTAATGACCTTTCGCCCAATTGTTTCCAGCACCTGCTCGGCCGAAGAAGGAAACAAAACTCGCGATGACCAAGGTGAACTCTGCGGAGGACAGAGCTCACAGTGGCCATCGTTAGTTATTTCACGATTTCGCTCGAACCTGTTTGGCCGAAGACAAAATCCACCACCGCACTTTTGCGATTGAGGCGCGTTGGAATATGGATTGGTTGTCTGGCAGGTCTCCTGCAGTATTCCCAACGTGCCCAGTCTCACACACACATACACATACACACACGCGCACATTTTGGAATCGCGCTCTCGCGCGCAGCGACAGCGGCCGCACGCGTCTAAAAGCAGAGCTCTCAAGCCGGTTGGAACAAGCAGCGCAAGCAACCCGCTACACATTCGACCTAAGACGAAAGAACAGACTTCGGGAACATGGGACCCTCCGCTGGCCAAAATACACAGAACATCCAAGGGTGCCCTCCCCAGGATGCACAAGAGCATCCCACAAGCACGAAAAAACGTTTGGCACCCTCCCCGAACCGATCTCGATCTTATACCTCGGTACGACTGTAAGTCATCCGGGCGTGGATGACGGGGGATCAGACGACGGTAGTATGACAGCCGACCAGCATGGAAACGACATGATCACGAAGGCAAGGGGGGGCAGAGCGGTGGAAGCTACAGGAATGCCATGGCCAAACGACTGGACACACACACACACACACACACACGACTTGCACGCACCATCCAAAAACAGCAAGCAACACCCGAAAATCTGACGATAGAGCCACCACCACCACCAGTCTGACGTTGTTTGCTTGCGCTGTTCTGTCCAAGAGACGACCCCGAATGAGCGAAAAACTGCAGAACAAGACCTGATACGAGACGCCCAAACATCGCCAAAAGACAGCCCAACGAGCTCCAAGGGGCCCCAACAACTTCCCACGACCTTCTGAAAGGTACAAAAACTCCGAGCCAAGGGAGCAAAACGAGCCTCCAGCGAGGCCATCAGAAGCAAGAAACACTAGAAGATACGAAGACCAGTTCAGGCATCTGCGGGAAAAGTTCAAAACAACAGAAAAACACCTGACCCCTTTATGACTGTTCGACGACCTCCCAGTACGGTCACATGACTGCTCGATGACCTTCCAAGACCGCCTCAAGAACCGCCCAGATCATCTGGGCAGCCCGCGTTTGGAGTGCGCCCCGAACGCTCGCAGTGGCGATCCCCTCTGTTTGGTTGCGCCGCTGTGCTCGGATATCGAAAAGGCGGTATACCGCTGATACATACGGGCACGCGGCACCGGGGACTTCACTTCCCTTCTTCGAACAAGGAGGGAATACGATATAGGACGACGGACGGTGGAGCAGGGAGGCAAAGAAGAACGAGGAATAATGGGGAAGGCGGAAAAGGGCGCTCCCCCGCCCGAGCTGCGGACGCTTTCGACACCATCCAGGGGAGGGTAACGAGGGGGACGGAGCAAGGGCGAGGACGACGACGGGAAGCAAACTGTCCTCGGTCCGCATATAGCCATATGCTTGCGATTTGGTGCGCGCGCTTTCTTCGGAGACACTTCAAGCCCGACCCATACTGAATTCACTAATTCCTCAAAACTGTATAAACAGTCTGTCCTCTGTACCCCGTCCTATACAACTGCCTCAGAACAGAGGGGCAGTGGATTCCAACCCAGATGTCCTCAGGGTCGATGAGCTCTTCGGGAGATGTGAATGGCCCCCGTGCCAGTTGGTGGCGGTAGATGCACTTGTGGGGCGGTAAAGCAGCAGGGGCGACGCTGAGGCCGCAGCCTAGAGATCGCAGTTGCAAGTTGCACCATGCAATCCTCGTGCACCTGGGCCGAATCATGGATACACCGCCGACGCTTTCGCGCCCCTGCGCGAAGGAGGCAACGAAGCCCACGTCCAACCCGCCCTCCCCCCATTGCAAGGAATCCAACAAACGCATATGCGGTCACATAGACAGATGCACGATCACGCAAATGCGTACGACGCGCGCTCGAGGTGGAAAAACATAGGCGGGAAACACGGCGCGCTTTCCACACGCCTCGGCAAGGCGTTGTCCCCTGCTTCGCCTTCAGCAATGTGGGCATTGCCGCGGCATCCTCGGGATGGATTTCACTGACGAGCACCCACCTTTGCTTGTGAAGCCCCAACTGCCAAAAAGCTCAAAAAAACGTCCTCTTCATCCCGTGTGGGACTCATCAGCGCAAGCTGCTCACCAATGCCGCTGGTCGCGATGCAGCCAGCATGGCGCTAGCTGGACAAAAAATGGCGCGCTCCCGTCTGGCCGTGCTTCTAGTTCATTGCATGTACCGTCTAACAGGAAGCGGCCCCCCTGCAGCGCGCTTGCGCTGGTGCCATCTAGCACGCAGCAACTCCTCCTGGTCTGAATTTGCAAAACCCTCCGGCGCCGACCAACATGACGCGGCTCCCTTTTGGCGTGTTGATGCCACAGTCATCAGCTTGACACAGTGCATCTTATGTTTAACTCTGCATGGACTCCTAGCGCCGGCATGCACGATACAGCCTAATTCCAAGGGGTGATGCTGGTGCCGTCGAGCATGATGCATGTACTTTCTGCTCTAAGTTGAATGCTCCCCCGTTGCCATCATGCAGGAAGCAACCGCCCTGCAGCGTGCTTGCGCTGGTGCCGTCTAAAATGATGCAGCACTTTTCTGGACTCGCTCTTCACAGACTACCGCTCCATCTCAATGCATCCACTCGTAGCCCAAAGCTCGGAACCTGTGAATGGTCCTCGCCGATATTCTGACGTAGTATATGCAACCGTGTGACGGGATAACAGCAGGGGCAAGGAGGATATCGCAGCTTAGAGCAAACGGGGGAAACGGCGAAAGCCAGGCTCGCGCTGACTGCTCGTCTCATGCCAGCTGCCCCATGCATTGGTTTCGTACTCGGGCCAACGAACGGATACACCGCCATTGCACGCGACCCTTCGCGCCAGGGAGGCAACGCAAGCCACGCTGCCGCACACAACTGCTCCAATAAAATAAGCGCACACGCGATCACAACGATCTGTGCTAACACACGAATGCGTATGATACGTGCGCGTGGGGGGAACTCGGAGGCGGAAGCCACGGTGCGTTTTTCACGCACGCACACACACACACACACACACACACACACACTTGGCAATCGCGGCCTCGCGCGCGGCAACGAGGAGGAGAAAGTAAGTCGGAGCGAAGTAGCAACGCGCGACACAGACGCAAGCACACACACACACACACGCACACACACACACACACACGAACCGACATCCACGCACAAACACACACACACACACATACACACACACACACACACACACACACACGAACCGACATCCACGCACAGACACACACACACACACACACCAGCACACACACACACACTTTGATCAGCGGCGCGCTGGGTCCAGCAAGCGGTCGGGCTAGCGGCGGGGCGCGTCCGAAGTGCACTGGGCAAAAAGGCAGGGAAAGGCAGGAGGGCAGGAGGCACATACACATACATACAAACAAACAAAGAAAACAAACGAACACACACACACACACACACACGCGCACACACTTACACACACACACACACACACACACACACACACACACGCACACTTTTTTGGCAGTCGCGGCCTCGCGCGAAACGTCGAGGCGGAGAAAGTCACCGAACGAGCGGGCGCGCGCGCGCGGGGGGCCGCTCAGAGCGAGCGGGGCCCGTCTTGGGTAGACCAACAGTCGGCATACGTATGCATGGGCAGCGAGGGCGCAGCGGGTGAAAGGGCCAAGCCTGGGAAACCGGAGGCGCAGTACGACGAGCGAAGAGCGACGGGGAGAGGACAGCCGAGGCCATCGCGACAGCACGCAGCTGCGAAGGGGGCGGAGGGCGGGAGGGGGGAGGACAACCAGGGCGAGGCTCAGGGCGCCAGTGCGGGCAACCAAGGGCGGAAGGACACACCACCACTCCACACACACACACACACATACACACACACACACACACACACACACACGCACACACACACACACACACACACACATACGCACATTTTGAGCGTCGCGGACAGGGCCAATTCGCAAGTCGTCTTCAAGTCCCGCGGGAAAGCGCGAGCTGGCTGAGAAGTAAGAATCCGCAGCCTGCGTGTGCGCCATCAGCAGCAAATCATCTGGGCGTGGTTGGCGGCAAAGGGACACGCTGACCCGGCGCTGGACTTCCAACGGGGACGTAGCGCGAGAGCGTGGGGGGAGCATAACCATGTGGGCACGGGTAGCCAAGAAGTGACGCGCCGTCGAACGCTGGAAACCAGCGGAGACGCGGCGCGGGTGGAGATGAAGGGAGATACGTCGAAAGGGCGGTGAAGGTGCGGAGGACACGTGAAACACACTGCACCGCGCGAGGTGACGGGCAAGTGGCAAGTGCAGCACGTGGAGGACCCGGCAAAGAGAGGCCGCAGCGGGCCGCCGGGAGGAAGAAGGGCCGGGCGGGAGCCCGTGGCAATAGGGACCGAAGCCCATGCGGAAAGAGGCGAGGAGGCATGCAGGGAGACCGCCTGCAAGACTGCCCGCAAGGCAGCGACGTGGGGGCGAAGTGGCGCGAGGAGGGAGCGAGGAAAGCCAGAGGGTAAGCCCGGTCGGTTCAAGCTCGCGATGTGGCGGGCTCGCCCGCCACGCCCAGACTGGGCGCGGGAGACAGGGCGCTTGCGACCAGCCGCGCCGCTCCCTGCTGGCGGCGGCGGCACAGGGGCGGCACCAGAGCAGGGCACCAGTCCAGCTTGGGCGACAGCTGGAGGGAGGGTCCATAGAGAGGCCCAGCTGATTGGACGGAAAGTCAGAAGGCTGCAGAGGCCTGTCAGCGAGACGAGGGAAGGCTTGCGCGGCGTTCTTGGCGGCCCACATGAAGCACTGCGCCCTGACGAAGCCGTGGTCCTCGAAGCCCCACCAAGCTGACGAGGTCCCCTACGACGCTGCGCTGTCGCTCGTCGCTCAGGTGGCGGCAGTCCCGAAGGCACCCGTTCTCCCACCCTTCGACCAGGGCGTGAAGGAACCCAGGCTCAAGCAGACGCGAGTCGTAGGGGAGAAAGGGGAAGGCCTTTGGGGCGGCACGCAGGAAGAATTGCGCCCAGATGTCCGGACGCCCCGTGGAGCTACTGACGTGCTAGACGCGCCTGAGGAGGTTGGCAGTGGGGTAAGCGGTCGCCTCCGCGCACCCGCAGGGCTGCCCCGAAGCGGTGACGTGGGTCGCCTGGGTCCCTATGCCTTTGCGCGCTTGGTGGCCGAAGGCGCGGCCTATGAAGATGGCGAGCTGTTCGTCAGAGCAACGCGCGGGGTCGCCTTGCGTGATTTTCATCTCGAAGGGGAACACACACACACACACAAACACACTCTTTGCGTCGGCGGCCAGGCAGACACACACACACACACACACACACACGCTCACACACACACACACACACACACACACATGATTACACAGGGAGAGAAAGAGAGAGAGAGAGAGAGAGAGAGCGAGAGAGAGAGAGAGAGGCGAGGCGACGAGGCGAGGCGAGGCGAGGCGCCGGCGTGCGTCCCGACGGGGGGGGGGACGGCCCTGCAATGGCGCGGCTTGCGGGCCGGGGCCCAGTCATGCGTGGATGAAATCGGTGTGGGAAGTAACAAATGTCTCTTCCAATGCATGCCATGGTTGCTGACTTGTAGCAGTTCGTAACATCTGCTGCAATCGTTGCCGTCGTCGTCGTCGCGCAGCATAATGCACCGCCGTCGCTGCCGTCGTCGTCGTCGTCCTCGCCGTCGTCGCCGTCGTCGTCGCCGTCGTCGTCGTCGATTGCACCGCTGGGGCCTTCGCGCCTCCGACAGCCGCGAGGCCCCCGCCGCGCGCCCGGCGGGCCCCAGGACGAGCCCCCGAGGAGGACCGCCGCGAGGGGCCTCTCCAGAGCGACAGCTGGGAAGCCTCTGGGGGAGGGCTTTGGAAGAGGCAGGGGGGAGAAGGCGGGAGGAGCTAGAAGGTCCAGGGTTCGCTGGGGACTGGTAGAGGAAAGAGAACTATGCACATACACCGATTCTTGCCAGGCCCATCCCGAGCCCAGGATCGGTGATCGGTGCACGTGCATAGCTCTCGTCGCCTCTCACAACAGCCGAAACCCTCCCGAAACCCCTCGATCAGCCTCAGGGAAGGGCTCCAGGAGGCAATTCGGAAGCCTTCGGGAGGGTTTTCGTCGCTTCGGGGGGAAGCCAGTCCCTAGCGAACCCTGGGCTTTCTAGAACCAACGAGGATGGAAGGGAAGAGCGAGGCTGCGGACGAGGAGGCGCTGAGACGAGACCCTGTGCTGGAACGGGCCTCAGACTCAAACTCCCTCCCGCCGCGGTGCTGCACCGGCGAGGTGGCGGGGTGTTGCCACAGGCAGCTGGATTGTCTGGACGGAAGAGCTGGCCAAATGGCCCGGCACGGACGCTGTCCATGGTGCCCGGCTCCAGGTCCATCAACACAGCGCGAGGAACATAACGGCCCCCAGTGGCTTCGTTGTAATAGACGTTGATGCGCTCGAGCTGAAGGTCGGAATCCCCATGGTATGTGCCGGTGGGATCGATGCCTGATGGCGAGGGAAACATCTGTATTATTGGGCGCCCAGTTGGGTCCAGCGAAGATCTCCAACGAACGAATGGCACAATGAACTCACCAAAACCACTTAGGTTGACTAATGTTGCGCTGTGTTAGTTACCGTTACACGGGGCTGCCAAGACCTCTATCAACCTCGCAACTGGCGACAACTCAGAAAAGCGAGCACTACTGAACTAGATTCAGCACTGCACGGCAAGAATGAATAGGAACAGCTGTTGCTAGTCTACAATCGGGGTGGATTGAAAAAGACACGCGAGAGGACACGAGTCTCTTCCGAGGGCCAAATTGCCATATGCATGCAGAAGCATGGGATGCGAGGCACAGGACACAAGGGTACCCTTGATTTGGCAGGGTCGACCTACTAATCAGCCTCGACTGCATTCCGCCCCGTACGATTGCAATGATGGACAACTACATCTCAGAGATGTGCCGTTCGCGAGCAGGCCCCCAGAGCTGCTTTGGGCTCCCACGGTCGATGCCGTGCTCGTCCGAGATCCGCCAGCGCGCCGTGCCGCGGTCGGCATGTGTGTCGGGCCCCTTTGCTGAATCATGTTATCCGATTCTGCCACCTGCGAAGGAGCAACAAGGGAGGCGAGCCAGCACATCGAGGCCAACACGCGTCCATCCGTCGCTCGAGGTATGCAGGCCGAGGCACCCAGAAGGCGAGAGATGCCCAAAAGCCCAGCGTGGAGTGGCACCCCTCGTAGACTCCCTCACCTATCACTCACCCACCCAAAACCTCCAAGATCTTCAGCAAAAGAATGCTTCCACTATTGTCAGCCTCGGCGGGGGCGCTTCCGGGCAGAGGGGCCATCAGAACATTCCCAGGAAGGAGCCGAAAGCTCCGAGGCTCGCGCATCCTGGAAAAACAGAGCACGAGAGGTCTGGGCACCCGCTCGCCCAACCCCCGCTCCTCCCTCCTCCTCCGCCTCCTCCTCCTCCTCCTCGTCCTCCTCCTCCTCCTCCTCCTCCTCCCCGCTCCTCCTCCTTCTCCCCCTCCTCCTCCTCCTCATCTTCCTCCTCCTCCTCCTCCACCCCGCTCCTCCCCCCAGTTCAGCCCCTCAGGCGGCCCCGTCACGCCCCCCAACCACGGTGGCGGACACGCGCGGCAGCGCGGCAGGATGACTTCCCAGAACCTCAGCACGTTGCCGAATACAGATCACAGAGATCAACGTGATCACTTGAGAATCCCTTGCCCTGGCCGAACACGAATCACGTTACATGGCCAAATTTTGGCCGAGCACAAACCACACGAACACACGATCAAACGCGCGAGAGCCGAACACATACCGGACACGATGATCAACTGCGGATGCCGAACACATACCGAACACGTACCGAAAACTGCGGATCCCTGTCCTGGAGGAGGCCGTCGCGCCTGGGGGCCTCTTGAAAAAACAAGCTTTCGGGTCCCGAAGAATTGATATTGGTGCTTTTGCAGCCCTGGGGGTCGGGGCCCAGCCCTGGAGGAGGCCGTCGCGCCTGGGGACCTCTAAAAACAAGTTGTCGGGTCCCGAAGAATTGATATTGGTGCTTTTGCAGCCCTGGGGGTCGGGGCCCAGCCCTGGAGGAGGCCGTCGCGCCTGGGGACCTCTAAAAACAAGTTGTCGGGTCCCGAAGAATTGATATTGGTGCTTTTGCAGCCCTGGGGGTCGGGGCCCAGCCCTGGAGGAGGCCGTCGCGCCTGGGGACCTCTAAAAACAAGTTTTCGGGTCCCGAAGAATTGATGTTGGTGTCAAGGCCCAAGCGAGTAGCCGAACAAGCCCAACAAGTAGCCGAACACATACGCCGAACAAGCGATTAGCCGAACAAGCGATTAGCGAACACATGTGCCGAACACAGCCGAACAAATGATTGGAGCGTGCTAAGCCCAGAACTTTGCCCCGATCTGGTTTCCGCACTGGCCGCCCTGGATGTGCACCAGCTCGCGCATTGCTTCGAAGGCCAGCGGCTGCTGCTTCGGGGGGGTGCGGGGAAGGCCTCAGTCGTGAACTGCCTTGAGTCAAAACAGTTGCGGCATGTCAATAAACGTGAACATACTGATGCCGATGGTTTGGGTTATAATGACGGCAGGTGTGGCGGTAACGAGGATGGCGGAAGTGATAAATGGAACTCGATATTCCTGGGCGCACCCTTCGTAGGCCCTTTGACGGGATGCGCTCGCACTGGGCGCTGAGGTGGCCACGTGCCTCCTGCTCCAGGGCACCGTCGCCGTGACTCCTGCCAGGCACACACCGACGCAGTCCATGGCCCGAGACTGGTCGGTGCGGAGCGAGCCCTACGCCCCGGGCGTGACCGACCTTATGGTCTCCACAGGGAACCAGCAAGCAGCACGCAGACACTCCCAGCATGCACTTCCAGTCTCAACGCTCGCCTGCGCAGATCACCTCACGCAGGGCGTCGATGGGGCCTCTTGAGCACACTGGGGTTCGACGGCAAGCGAATGCACCGCCGTGACGGAAGATTTCATCATTCCTGGTTCGAAACGACTGCGCTTCGTCGGAGGTGAAATGGGCGGAGTAGTACTTCACCACGTGAGAACGCATCCTTTGCGATGAATTACAAGATTTGGCGCGGAGTCTGATCTGGCCGCTTTTCAAACGAAACAGACTATGAGCCTCCACGGAACCCAAACTACTCCGACGAACTCAGCAAGTCTTATGCATGTTAGAGATATTGGCAGGGATGGGGGACTCATCGATCATAGAAAGATGCAAGCGTCGGGTGGTGTGACTGCCTCTACTGAAGCCACTTGTGCCAGAGAGATGAGGGACTTCAATGCTGGCCGCCTCGTGGTCCGTCGGTGATCCGTTCCCCCCATTCTCTCCCATCGCCCCTCTCCTCCCCTCTCCATCCCCCTCCTCCCCTCCCCCCTCCTCCCCTCCCCTCCTCTCGTCCCGCAGGAGGATGAGGTCTCCAGAGGTCCTGGAGGCCTCCACATGACCCTGGAGACATCCGAAGACCAGCAGGTTCAAAAAAAAGCAACAAAGCGAAAAAAACGCCTCTACCCCTCCTCTCTTCCTCACCACCCCCCTCCCTCACACCCACCCACCCCCCAGCGCTGACGCAGGCACAAAGCACCACCGTGCGCTGGAAGAGCAAAGCAGAAGGAGCTCCTCCTCATACTTCTCCTCGTCTTCCTCCTTCCCCCCTAATGGCCCTCCTCCTCCTCCTCATCCTCCTCCTCCTCCTCCTGCTCCTCCTCCACCTGAGCGGGACAAATCAGGCGAACGACTCCCAGCGAGCGAAAGAGCAGTGGGAAGGAAGAGGGAGGGAGAGGGAAGCAGAGAGAAGTAGGAGGAGGACTTGCGAAGAGATGTGTTATACGCGTTGGGCCTCTTGGCGGCCTCCTGAGGCCTCCGAGGACATCCAAGGACCTCCCGATAGCTCCAGAGACCTCTGGAGCTCTCAGGGGATATCGGGAGCAAGGAGAGGAGAGGAGGGAACGGAAGCCGAGGACGAGGAAGGAAGGAGGGGCAAAGATGAAGAAAAAGAGGGAGAGAGAGGGGTACGAGTGGGGAAGAAGGTGGAGGGATGTAAGAGGGTGGAGGGTGGAGAGTGGATGGTGGAGGGTGGAGGGTGAGGGAGAAGAGAGTAGCAGCAGAGAGGAATAGAAGCGGGCCTCCTCACTATCCTCCTACTCATGCCCATCCTCCTCTTCCATTCCGTCCCCATCCTCCTCATCCACCTCGTCATCATAATCCGTCATCATGATCCTCGTCACCATCACCATCGCCATCAGCATCACCATCACCATCAGCATCGCTCGTTGCCACTCATCAGTCAGCATGACCAGCATGACCAACCATACCATACCAGCAGCATCATGAACAAAATCAACCATACCGTATTCATCGTCATCATCATTTTAATCATCACAAACATCAGCATCATCATCATCGTCAGCATCATCAGCATCAACAACAACATCAGCAGCCGCTTCATCATCAGAATCCTCATCAACATCAGCATCATCGTCATCATCAGCATGTTCATCAGCAACATCATCATCATCATCATCATCATCATCATCATCATCATCAGCAGCAGCAGCAGCAGCAGCAGTAGCAGCATCGTCAGCAGCAGCAGCAGCATCAGCATCAGAATCAGCATCATCACCACCATCATCATCCTCATCCTCATCAGCAGCAGCAGCAGCATCGTCGCGCTGTCCTACTCCTGTGCTTCCGCGTATTGCCACAAAGGTGTGTTCATCATGTTCCTACTCAGTAGCACCAACTCAATCATCCATCAGCAGCCACCTCATCCTCAGTTCCCCCTTGCCCTGCAACGAAGGAGGCATACTGCCCCTTCTCCTCCTCCGCATCCTCCGCATTCCATCACCAATGCAAAGGGAGCCTCTTCTTCCTCGCCTCGCGCGCTCGGCGAGTCCCGCTACGCACGGCGCGCGTGGGGCTCACTTCTGGCAGCCCGAGCCTCAGAACACGATATATCCGCCAAGCATATCCTAGTTGTCGTCCTGGGGAGGACGCCAACGGCAGCCACAGTCCATGGTAAGGATGCAGATGTGTTTCCAGGGCGATGTCTGCATCCTTAAGAAACAAAACACGATATAAACGGAACCCTTCCTCGAAGGTGCGCGGAATTTCTTGGGTCGGCGCTGGACCCCTTTCGACACCCCCCCTGTGCGGCGACTCCAGCTTGGGTGCTAGGGGTGCTGGGGCCCAAGCAGCGCAGGCGCGAACCTGAGCATCCCAACCCCCACAATCCTGTTGAGTAGGTGGGGCTCGTGCGCGCGCTCTCTGACCGATTCCCTCTGTCGTCCCCTTCCTCCCCCTCACCCTCCTCCTCCTCCCCGCCCCCCTCCCCCCCTTCGCGTATCCCCCCCCGCTGGCCAGAGGTGTGGCCCTGCTCCGCCCCTGGCCAGGGGGGAGATGGGGGAATAAGACAATGGGCTCCAGAGAAAGGGTCTCCGATGAGCAAGTTCCTCGACTTTGCTTGCGCTTAAGGATTCTTACTTCTCTTCTCA